ATGCGGTTTTAAAGCAAGTCACACTCCCAAAAAAGCCGCGGAGTAACCACGCGATAAAATATAGATGCGGTTGCCTCGTAAAAAGCGAAAGAATGTGACGTGAATGAATTCTCTCTCTTTTTGATACAAGGACCGGAAGGGGAGGTGTGTGTGAAACATTCATTCAAATGTTTCTCGCGTACACTCCCGGGCCCCCTGGCGACGATGAATACTGCATGTAATTGTAAAGAGGAAAAACAAAAGGGATGGGCTGCGCCAAGCGTTAAGTGGTGCTTTGGTTTGCTTTTTACACTTTAGGCCGCGACATAGGCGTTGCGATGTTGCTGTGAGAGAATTACGGCGATGAGAATATGGCTCAATGAAAAATGCAAGACAGTCCTTCCCATCTTGGCTCATTAAAACAAACAATGGGCGGTGAGTCATCGCTTTATTTATTTTTTTTCTCTTCAAAGAAAACTGTTTAGTGCAAATTAATTTGTCAGTTTATCAATCTTGCAGGACTTTAGTGACTGTAATTAACACGTCTCGTGATTTCCACGCGGGCCAAACTATTGACTGGGGCTCATTTTAACGCAATTAAATTGCTTGACTCTTTTCATATTTTTCCATGCACCTCCTTGATTTGCTGTCCGCAATTTTCTTTAAAATGTTTTGTTGCCTGACGACAGATGTTTATGGATAGTCAATGGCTTTTTAAGTGTTTCCTGGCAAAACAACAGTAATAATGTCAGTGATTGGCAATTATGTGGCTCTTGGTTAAAAATAAATAAATTCAATAAATCAAATAAGTGCGGATGCACACGAATACGAAGTCGAGCACACGCTGATCACCGTCATTATGTATTTCGTAGCGTCACTCACATTTTAAGACATTCAAACTCCGTAAGGCTACATCTCGCCGTAGGAATCATTTTCTTCCCCGAGTCCTGATTTTAGACCGAAGTTTGGAATATTTCTGATGGACACATGAAAGTGGATTAGTCAGTAATAGGAAAAAAAAAAGCAATCAAATTAATGCTTTTTTTCAGTCATCATTTCAGAACTAAAAAAGGCGATAGCGAGCAGCGAGGCAGATTAAGGTCAATTGCACCTTTTTCCTAACACGCCATCTCCTTTCTGTGAGGTGTGGGGGTGGGGGGGGCGTCTTTACTTTTACCCACCTCGTACTCATGATTCAGCAGGCGGGATGATCATCTTCACACAGCTCCACCTCTAAGGCAACATGCCCTTGATCAGTCCGGAACTGCGTGGCGGACAGCGGCTCTTGGAGGGGCTTTCTTTGCTCCGTTATCGAATACAAATGAGACACCTTTCCCAAAAGTAATTGCCCTCCAGTCCCGCTTAGACGTCTGCACCCCGTGAGAAGTGCTCGTACATGCAAATTATCAGCCTCGTGCAGCTATGAAGACACCTCACCCATTAGCAGAGGGACACTGGAAGTGGGCTTTGTGCTTTCATCGGCATACGCTGATGAAATGTTAATATCCGATGTACACTTTTTTTTTTTTTGTTTCTTAGCTTCTCTGGTTAATCGGTACACTCCATGTATGAAAGCGTCGTTGCGGCCAACTGGCTCGAGATGCTGAAGTTTTGTCCAATGCTACTTGAGATGTTGTTTGAGCGGCCATTTGATTGGTTTGAATTCCATTTGTATTTGACGTTTGAGCGCACGTTTGCTGAAAATGTTGGCCAAACCCAATATTGACCGGCTTTTGTGGCGTTCAACTCGGTCGGTTCCACCGCATCTTACAATGGCCGTAATAACGCTGCAGTTGCTCGATGCGCACTTGACATTGCGGATAGTTATCGAGCCTCCTTTGATGTATTGCTCCGCCAAGACAAATTAGCGTCCGACTTGATATTTTGACACGAGACGATGCTGAATGGCGCAACTTCCTATTCATGAGAATTTTGCTGCTCCTTTGCATGTTCGGTCCCCCGGGCACGTGTGTAAACCGTATTCCCTGCAGCGGTGTCAGACAGCCCACTATTTGCATCAGCTTGTCACACAACCGGTCCCCAGAGAGTATGCCAGGGAATGTAATTAAAGGCGTGTTTTCAACATTGATTTCTTTTCCCCCCCAGGTACGGAAATTCCAATCAAATTTGGGGGTTGGGACAGCAAGTATTTGATGCGCTAATGTGCGGCAACTCTCCGGAGGAAACGATATTGCGCTGCTTGTATTGTACTCAAGCAAGGACGAATGGGAATGGAGATGCTAAAATTCACTCGTGGAATCAATATTGGAGTTTTATATTCCTTTGGAAGGTTGAATTACTGATTGTGAAATGACCAAATTTGACTTTTCACATCCCCCAAAGCGTCTGAAATATATAAACTGTCTTGACATTTTTCGCTTCTATTTTTATTTTATTTTTTTTGCTGTTTGTTGCAAAATGCACGAGAAGAAAAATGATCGTACTTTTATTCAGATTCGCCGCGGTGACTGATGTGATCATTGCAACTCCAGAGCCCTTGACGTCCCCCGCGACAACAAATTGAGCCCACCGCACGGGTTTGGATGGTGACAGAATTGGGACAGCACCGTCACCACCAGCAACCACGCTACAACAGGGATGGGAATTGATTAATAAATAAAGCGGGGTGACGGAACAAGAAAGAATCCCAGGTTTGATTTTAGCTCCGGCCTTCTTGTACGGAGCTTGCATGTTCTCCCCGTGCCTGCGTGGGTTTTCTCCGGGTACTCAGGTTTCCTCCCGCATTCCCAAAAACACGCATGGCAGGTTCGTGGAAGACTCTAAATTGTCCCTCGATGTGATTGTGAATGCAAATGTTTGTCTGTGTGCCCTGCGATTGGCTGGCAACCAGTTCAGGGTGTCCCCCGCCCGACTGCCCAAAGCCAGCTGGTATAGGCTCCGGCACGCCCCCGCTACCCTTCTGAGGACAAGCGGATCAGAACATGGATGGCCGGATGAATGTACGTTGGCGTTTGTGCACGCTTTGTTTTGATTCGTCTGCCAACACGATTTGGGGACTTTCACACTGCGGAAACAATGCGAGTAAGCTGACGATTGTCTTCACTCACGACTCTTCTTTTTTTGGGAGCCATTGATTCTCACTCCTCTTTGTACTTCCTGGAGGAAGGATTTCGACTGCCCGAGGAAGGAAAAAGGGGGAGGGAATTGAATGGCTGCGGAAATGGATGAAAAGGAAGATGATAGAACGGGAGGAATTCGAAGCGGAAACGTGACATCACTCTTGATGTCACTTTTCCCATCTTGAAGTTCAACTGAAGTTCATGAAAATGGGGCGTGATACTGTACCTGTCCCCCTGTGCGGGTCTGAGCCGCTTTCAACCCAACAACATGAGCTGAGGAGGAATAAGAATGGGCTGGAGCTCGCTTGAAATTGGCGACACAGCAGAAGAATTGTGAATCCACACCCGGGCCCTCTCTCAGCACGCCGTTGTTCATTCTTCCATTAATCTGTCACCTCCCACTGCCGAATCGTCATGGTGGCGCAGGAGGAGGGCGCGCAAGCACCCAGATTCTTTACACTTTCTGTTTGATGTCGAGAGGCATGAATGAGAGTCTTTAAATAAGTCAGGCTTAAACCGAGTGAGGTTTTTGATTCGATTTTTCTCTGGTTTTGCTTTTTTTTTCCTTCTTCTTCATCATTCTATGCCACATTTCTTGTCCTTTTTTTTTTTCCTTGAGATGGTAGAACTCCAGCTTGTCTCCGACACCACATGTGGCCTCGCTGTATTAAAAATCCTTTTCGTCTCACTCTTAACGGTATCAAAGTGTGCAGCCGCGTGCGCCGAGACTCTCATTTGCCGACAGTCAATCAGAGCAAAGTCCGACCCTTTGAAAAACGGTGCAGTCAGATGATAAGATCCAGCCTGTATTTATCAGATGCTTGAAGCGTGACGGGGCATCGCTGTGTATCAGCTACGATCTGTGTCTTGGCGTCTCATCTTTATAGCACCTGAAACAAAAAAACAGCCCTGGAATTTCGAGTCTGACATTAAGGTCACCAAACTGACGGAGCGCAGCAAACGGGCGCTGTAGATGCTCCCACGTGAGTCCCGCTCGGGGGACACAAACCCGACCCGAGCTCATAAATGCATAAAAGAATCATTTGACGGATTCTGCGAGCGTCACGGGACGGGGAGGTCCGAGCCCCCAAACACGAACTCGCCGCTCGCTGGCGAACCCGAGTGAGAGCAAAGGGGCTTCGCTAAGTGAAGCTTCTCCGCATCCGATTGTGGCCTGACAGCTCTCGATTCTCGACGGATGATTAATGTGAGCTGCGGCTCCAGCCAAAATATGTTGCGTGTCATCCGTGATATCGTCACCCAGTGGCCTGGATGTCGTCAATTCTGGTGGCGCGTTGTCTGTATCCATCAACAAATGCTTGATAGGAGAGGTGAGAATTTGGTGTTTTTATTACCGGGTTGGTTTGGAACCGTCAGTCAATTCAGCCGTTGAGGACTCGAGTGCCACAAAAAGTTAAGGAGTGATCGATCGTCTTTGGGCTTGTCTTTTGTCGATTGATTAGGTGGAAATTTTGCTCAAGGATTCGGCGACGTGAACAGCTTGTGCGGCTTTCATGAATTTCTTGCGGCGTCATTAAAAAGTCCAACTTAATTAGAAAGTTAGCTCCCAGCTGCAGACGGGTGCTGCAAATTGGGATAATTGCCCATTTGTGCCTAACCCCGGCCGGCACTCCGTTTTCAAGTGTTTAGTCTTCCCTCTTTAATGAATCTCTTCGTCCCACGACGTGATTTACAGTCAGGGTCCGTTTTACCAAGAGTTGAACAGTATTCAAATCACACAACCCCAAATCTTTAACGATGGCGTAATTGGCTCGAAAGATAAAATAACAGAAAACTATAAGCGGGAAGTCAAATCATTAGCACGCCGTGGACTGGATTTTGAATCATACTCAGAAAGGAAAAATTGGATCACAGGCGGAGCCGACTTTGAAGTTTCTTCGAGACAACTCATAAAGTGGCCGGTGTGCCTTTATGCTCTCCTTTCAATGTCCTGGTACGGTCCTGATTAGATGACAGACAATCTCCCGGGGATCCGAACCAACCATGCCGGAAAATGTTGCAGGCGGCACAATGCTCTCCACAGTGTCCTCGGTGTGAACCCGCTTTTATCCGCACAAAGAATTGCGAGCCAAGAGAGAAATCTGAAAAAGTCTTGTTTTCAATCTCTGGGAAATGTCGGCGCTCGCTGCGTGGTGAATGTTGGATCCTGGTTTGGCTCTGGCGCCGGCTGCGGGTCATCTGTAGGAGTCTGGCAGTCGTTTTTTTTTCCCTGCGAGGTTCTTGCAGTCCTGTGACCTCCCTCAACCTCTTCTGGCGTTTTCACGCCATCTCCGCCGCGCTCTTGACAATGCGCTGCGAGGCAAAACAAACCTTTGGAGTATGTCGACGTGTTCCACCGCGGAGGAGCTGAACTACCTGAGCAACTTCTGCTACGCCACGAGAGGCGAGGTGCTTCCAACTTCTGGTAATGATGTTTCTTTTTGGAGGAGTGTCAATTTCCGATGTGGATGTTCACGTTGCAACTGGCAAAAGATGTGCAAAATTTCCTTGAATTAGTTTGCATGTCGTCTGCCACTGTACTTGGGATTGTATTTCTGGTTCTGGTGGTCTTGACGGCAGCCGTCATTGACGGGGTCTGCCATCGGGTCGTCGACGTGTCCATTTTGTACTCAAATTCTGCACCAATGATGTTTGTTAGTCACAAAAAACCCACATATTACTTTCCAGCTTCATCTGTCTTTTTATTTTCTCTTTCTGTCTGAATTCCTGACACTTGCGAGTCCAAATACACACACACACACACACACACACACACACACACACACACACACACACACACACACACAAAATTAATTTGTGAAGGTAATTATAAGAAAAGCCTTTTATTTATTTATTTCCCCCCCCAAAAGCAAGCTTAAGAGAATTTCGCATGACAACAATTTAAATTCTTCACAGTCTTAATCTGCTCTTGTTTGGAAAACAGTCCCGCAGTGTGTTTTAAACGCCGCCCCTCCCCACAGTGGAGCGTATGCAAAGGTTCAGGCCGGCAATTAAAGAATGAAGTGGAACGTAATGACAAGTAATGACCTTCTTGACAAGCTTTACGTGGCTGATAAATAACTGCCGTGCTTAAAATGAACCGAGAAGGGACGCGCAGGCGAAGGGTGGCCTTGATTTAAATGTCACCGTGTGATGTTTTTGTTGCTATGGAAACGTTCCAACGAGACTTTGTTGATGTTGTGCCTTGTTGAGTTTCTCTCCAAAGAACTACCGGAGTTGTATTTGTCCACCTAATGGGCTCAGCGAGGGCTGTTTGTTGAAAAGGAAGCTTGCAAAGTGGTTTGGAGCGTGAGATAGGAAAAGCAAAATAATAAGCACCACAAAGCCGCTCCCTACCTGTGAGGCAGAACGAAATTTTCCCCCCCCCCGGCTCCCACAAATGTCAGCCAGACGCCATCAGTGGCAACAGCAAAGACGGAATGCTGATTCGGAAGATACGAAGAGCGCGACGGAGGCAAGATCAATTTATAACAAACACACATTTACAGGATGTGACAGACAGGAGAGTGATTCGAAAAAGAAATCGTGCCGTCTACGCTCACTTTCATATTTGCTTTTTTTTTTTTTTTCCCCGTGAAGAAGACGACATAGATACGAGTTGTCAGCAACCGTTATGAAAACCAGAGAGCTGTCATTGGGTGAAAAACAAGCAATCATAAAACTGAAAAGAAGCCTTTGCACATTTTTGTTGCCAATAGTGCTCGCAAAGTTAGCGTCATTGTTTCAAAACCTTTCGAGCGGCGTGATGCGTTTGTTAAGTGGGGCTGTGACCCAAACGAGATCTCTGTGAAATTGTGACCATAGCGCACGCGGTATGCCCTGAGCTGTTGTTGTCAAGCCGACGGAACTTGTAAGAGAGCTGACCTTTTTTGCAATGCCGGTCGCCTTTTGTGGCTCTCGACCTCTCGGGGGGAACGTGGCCTCACTTAGAACTCCACCAAGGACTTGTTAGTCCGCTCCAGTAAAACCGCGAGATTGATGAAACTCACCCGTACCTGCCAGGCGGGCGGTGCTCAGTTATCCTCCTGATTTTTCTTGCTCTCAGCTTGGCGAGATGTAGCTCAAAATATCAGTTCTTCTTTCAGGCTGCTCCCCAAGATGTGCCAAACGATGCAGACGCGTCGAGATGCTTTGCTGATGTCACATGGCAGAAACGCGGAAGACGGCGAACAAACGCGGGAGAAGATGAAAGAGCGAGCGCCGTATCTAATGACGTTAAAATATGTGACAGTGACAATGAAGGCATTGCAGACGCACAAGGCTTTTGCTTTCTTGTCAGTACTCTTAAAACCTCGATTAGGTTCACATTCACGCTTGTACCCCTTTGTCACAATGAGATAAGAAATCCTTCAAAGCTTACTTGACCCTTTCAAGGGCAGCACTTACCACCACTACAGTGGACAGCTTGTCATGTTCTCAGGTTACAAACTCGCCTCCATCTGTCTATTAAACCTCCAATCGTGTACGTCTCACCTCTGCGAAATTCACACCAACAAAGCTCATCATTGCAGAATATGAAACAGATCTGACAGGTGACAAATCAAGGCACAGCAAAAAAAAAAAAAAAACAAAAAACAAAACACACACAACCAAAGTAAAGTGAAGATTTATCACAGCCGTCAAAGCACCTTCGGAACATCATGACGAACTTCCAGTAAAGCTTTGCCAACTGAATAGATTTTGTTTAGCCTCATTACAATCAACATTTTAGGGCGCGTGGTTGCCTCTTACATCACTGCTTCAGCCGTCAGCCAGACGAATGCTGCTTTGTTGAGCTGTCTGTGCCCCTCTTTGTCTTTCTGTCTGCGTCTCGCTACTCTTCATCTCCGTTGCTGGTAATGGATGCTGAGACCCTATCGATTTTTATCCCAACGACCTCGGTCTGGGCCTATGGCCATCTTCAGTGCTGCTACTTAAGCTAATACTGTTTTGTTTTGTTTTGTTTTGTTTTGTTTTCTTAAAGGCACGACAATGTTGACCAGTTCCAGTCCGTTCAGGACATCTCTTGCGTCGCACAAACGAATACAGAGCAGAAGACCGTTTCTGACAGGGATAAAAAAAGCCATTTGGCAAGAAGTTTTCCTGCTTGGTGATGAATCGAATACAATCTGGGGAAACTCTGCCACAGGCATGTCCTTCCATACGATGGCCTCTCCACTCTTGTACTGCGTGGACGAATGAGCACGATGCGTTTTTAATTAGCAGAGCCTATGCAGACATATTTGATGTGTTACACACACTATATAAGATGAGAAAGGGGACCAACAACAAAGCCAACGAAGATAAAGCTAAAAATAAATACATTGAATAGAAAACAGCACTGTGAAAATTAATCAACTCGTCAGCTGGTGTCCCCCCCCCCCCCAAAAAAAAAAAAAAGAACAGAGCAGTGCCTTCAATCTAATTTATTTCATCGCGTCTGACTTTTGGACCTGCAGACACAAAGTGGATGACTGCAGCCGGTCCACTGGCTCATGCCTCCAGGCTTCCTGTTTGAACACTGTCTTTTTTTTTTTTGTTGTTGTTGTTGTTGTTGCTGCTGCTGCGCCTCACTGATCATTTGTCACAAACGAGAGCAGATACTATCGCCAACCCAGGGACTATCGACTGCAGTTATTTTTACAGCGTAGTTTGGCTTGAGGGAGCCTATAATGATTCTTGCGCATACTTTTAAAAGTTTTCCTCATTGCCCTCTGATCGTAGCTAATTGGCCCGCGGGCGGTCATATTTCCATGCATGCCCCCCCCCATGAGCTGCATTTTGTCAATAGAGCGTTTGAGCCCCGCATTAAAAAAAAAAAAAAAAAGACATGCATGACAAATACAAAACATTTGATCATGACTAACGATCGCTCCGGTCACCGTGTGCTTAAAAATGCTTGTGAATCTAAGTGCCACTTTGCAGCAGTGGCACGTCCTTCAGTAAGAGCATTTGTTTCCTCCTGCCACTAAAATGTCACGACCACTCTCTTAAGTTTCGGGTTTTTTTTTGGCTTTAATAGCACACGTGCTAACAGTGTCACAAGCACATCCTTGAGTGTGCAGGGCATTTGCAGATCATGCAGGAAAGCCTCGCCGGGAATCTGTATGAAGGCATTGCCCTCAGTCATGAGGGTTAATAGTGAAGCGCTCCTTGGGCTTACTTACATTAATTAAAGCGATCACGAGTCCATCATTTTGGCTTCGTTTGTTTCAAAGGCGACCTGCCTGAAATGGAGCAGCTCGGAACTGTGATGCCGTGTCATCGTGGGGCAGACCCTTGACTCCATTTGGTTGAATAACTTGTGCGAGAGCTTGAAGGGCTCATTGCGAACCCTTTCTTGGTAGCACCTGTACTCATTCTTGTCACGGGTAAGCTGGACTTTGGACTTTGGGGCGACTGGTGGGGTCCACCATAGGCTCATATAGAGAAACAACGACAGTATTCACACTCCCACGGTTCACCCATCGAGTTTATTGTGCATTTCAGCTCGATCGTAAAGAGCCAAATGTCCCCTTTTTTATGAACATTGTGATGTATGTTTAACCCTTTCATGCTGTCCGCTGTAGTAACCGCTGTCCCCAAAAGAGTTAAATGCAAACATCTGCTGACGTTTGTTAGCGTGAGTGTTTCCTTGGCTGGATGGCTCATGCTGAGACTGCTGGCCATTATCAGTTTAGCAGGAGTGAACAATGACCTTTTGACTCCATTACAGCTGATTGGATTGCTTCTCGCGGTACAGCTGGCTTGCCGCCCACCCGATACGCCCGCAAGCAGCACATGGAAACCTTCAATTTGGTGCACTCACTCTCCGTCCTCCCAACTTTATATCTCTCAAGAGCATCCCTGTCATTCCTTACACGCATCCGTCTTTGGAGCTCCCCAGTAATTTTTTACCCCCCGTCCCCCCCTATCATTCTAGATGTGCTTCTCCAACGTCCCTTTCCACTTGCTGCCACATATCTGCCTGTTTCTGAACCTCTTCCATCACAGTGCAGTTCTGGACAATTTTGCAAACGCACAATGTGACGAAATGTCTGGGATGTTGAACCAACATGAAATGTTACCGGTTTGATGTCTTTGTTTGGAATTTACAATCAATTTCATTGAGAGAGAGCGAGCGAGAGAGAGAGAGATTTAATCTAATTTAGAAGTGAAAATAATTAAATAAAATTATACTATACTGTAGCGGTATCATTTCTTCAATATCTTTCTTTCTTTAATAGTAGGGGGAGGCCCTACTATTAAAGATTTTTTTTTTTACATCTTTGTTTTGTATTTCTGAAATGCATTAAAAAAAGAAAAAATCCTGATAGGAAGTGACACGCGTTAGCATGCACATACCCACGCACCAAAATCCAACATGTCAACATTAAATAAAAATATACTATACTGTAGAGGTATCATTTCCCCCCCTACTATTAA